TTATATAAGCACTTAGCAAATCACCATACTCTTCAATACTATTTGACAAAGTATATTCCAATGAAATACCGGATCTGTTTATCTAAACTTCGTCTTTCTGCACATAATTTAGCTATTGAGACTGGTAGATACAATAACATAACGAGAGAACAAAGACACTGTATGAGCTGCATTTCAGATATTGAAGACGAATATCATTTTATTTTAATATGTAACAATTTTCATATTCTGAGAGTAAAATACATAAAACCATATTACTGGCGAAATCCTTCAATGTTTAAACTTGTACAGTTACTAAGTGCTGATAATATCAGCGTTATTCGTAAACTTGCTAGATACATTTTTGAGGCAAATAAGGCACGAGTGACGTAAACATGCACATCAATATAATTTATATAAATGTCTATTTATGTATTATTGACATTTGTATCGTTACGGATTACATGTTGTTGTAGTTAATGTCAGATGTTAATGATGCTGNACTTAAAGTAATAAAGAACTTGAACTTGAACTTGAACTTGTATAAAAATGAGTGACATTATATCGAGGTTTAACTGTATAAAAACGAGGGGCATTGTATCGAGGTTTAACTATATATAAACGAGGGGCATTATATCGAGGTTTTACTGTATATAAATGAGAGGCATTATATCGAGGTTTAACTATATATAAACGAGAGGCATTGTATCGAGGTTAAACTGTATATAAACGAGGGGCATTGTATCGAGGTTTTACTGTATTTAAACGAGAGGCAATATATTGAGGTTTAACTACAATGTATATATAAACGAGGGGCATTGTATCGAGGTTTTACTGTATTGAAACAAGAGGCATTATATCGAGGTTTTACTGTATATGCAAATGTAATCGATGGGCAATATATCGGGTTCTTTATTATATTAACATGGGGCATTATGTCGAAGTTTTAATGTATATATAAACGAGGGACATTATAAAGAGGTTTTTCTGTACATAAACGAGGGACATAATATCAAGGTTTTACTGTTTATATATATATATTTAAACGAGGGACATTATATCAAGGTTTTACTGTGTATATATATATATATATATAAACGAGGGACATTACATCAAGGTTTAACTGTCTATATATATACGAGGGACATTATATCAAGGTTTTACTGTGTATATATATATATATATAAACGAGGGACAGTATATCAAGGTTTTACTGTGTATATATATATCTATATAAACGAGGGACATTAAATAGAGGTTTTACTGTACATAAACGAGAGACATTATATCAAGGTTTTACTGTATATATATATAAATAAACGAGGGACATGCTAACAAGGTTTTACTGTGTGTGTATATATATATATATGTATAAACGAGGGACATTATTTCAAGGTTTTACTTTATCTATATCTAAACGAGGGACAGTATATCGAGGTTAAGTGTTTTATATACGAGGGGCATTATATCGACGTTTCACTGTATATTAACGTGGGGAGTTATATAGAGGTTTTACTGTGTAAACGAGAGGCATTATATCGAAATTTTACTGTATACTAACGAGGGGCATTATATCGAGGTTTCTTCATCTTCCATCATATTAAGATATTACTGTATGTGAGCGGGGGACATCATCTTAAGATGTTACTGTGTGTGAGCGGGGGCCATCATATTCAGGTTTTACTGTGTGGGAGCGGGGGGAGTCATATTAAGGTTTTTCTGTGGGGGGGGGGGGGGCATCATATTAAAATGTTACTGTGTGTGAGCCGGGGGCATCATATTAAAATGTTACTGTATGTGAGCGAGGGACATCATCTTAAGATGTTTCTGTGTGTGTGCGGGGTCCATCATATTAAGGTTGTACTGTGTGTGAGGGGGGGCATCATATTAATGTTTTACTGTGTGTGCGCGGGGGCCATCATATTCAGGTTTTACTGTGTGGGAGCGGGGGCATCATATTAAGGTGTTACTGTGTGTGAGCCGGGGGCATCATATTAATGTTTTACTGTGTGTGGGCGGGGGCATCATATTAATGTTTTACTGTGTGTGAACGGGGGACATCATATTAGGGTTTTGATGTGTGGGAGCGGGGGCATCATATTAAGGCTTTACTCAGGGTGAGCGGGGGGCATCATATTGAGGTTTTACTGTGTATATATATATATATGTATAAACGAGGGACATTAAATAGAGGTTTTACTGTGTATATATATATCTATATAAACGAGGGACATGCTAACAAGGTTTTACTGTGTGTGAGCGGGGGCATCATATTAAGGTTTGACTAAGTGTGAGCGGGGGGCATCATATTAAGGTTTTACTGTGTGTGAGCGAGGGGCATCATATTAAGGTTTTACTGTGTGTGAGCCGGGGGCATCATATTAAGGTTTTACTGTGTGTGAGCCGGGGGCATCATATTAAGGTTTTACTGTGTGTGAGCCGGGGGCATCATATTAAGGTTTTACTGTGTGTGGGCGGGGGCCATCATATTAAGGTTTTACTGTGTGTGAGCGGGGGCATCATATTAAGGGTTTACTGTGTGTGAGCGGGGGCATCATATTAAGGTTTTATTGTGTGTGAGCGGGGGGCATCATATTAAGGTTTTACTGTTTTCAACTAAAATATCCCAAAGCTGTTATACTTCTAGAATAATGAACAGACTAACAGTTTATGGGGTGGGGAGAGGACAAAGTTGGGTGAGCTGTATTTGAATCTCTTTTGAAATAGCTATTAATGCATTTAACACATAGGTCAGAAAAGATATTATCAGTTATCGAAGCTTGATCAGCTCAGTACTAAATAAAACACGCTAAACCATGAAAGCCCTGTTCGCGGTTTGTCTGGCTGTTATACATGCTAATTAACAATCCGGTAGGCCTGCTAGTGAAGCTACATACACGTATCACATCACACAAGTACACTTTTAAGATTTTTTTAGTATTTTTTTATTCGGATAATTGATTGATGTTAGTCCTTTGAAATTAACTCCACGCGGAGAAACGGAGCCCATTAAGTTGTCTAATGTTTAGAATATGCAGTCAGTACTCGCACACACAAGCCAAGTCTGTGTGCTGCACCGTTTACTCAAGTTAGCCTTCCGAGTCATCTTGAAATTTATTTGGCTTTTTATTATTCATATATTGACTGTCGATGGCTTCCAAAAGTCCCATTACATATCATTTAAGGTGAACTATATTTTTATTGCATTTTGTATTCTAACTTTACGATCGTCAATCGTTAAAGCGACGCGGTCTGTTTTGATGTAGTCCACTATATTATATTTATTTAACGGGAACGCGAAACAGAAATGATACTAAGGATACATGACTACACAACTGAGAAATGTATCTCCTTTTCAAGAGAGTTCCCATCTAAACATGTAAAATAACTCCTTGAATTGTTATGACTTAGACTTTGTTTTTTATGTGTTTATTGACAACATTATGAGCAGCCTTGCGGCTGGTTAATAAGTAATACAACAAAATACTTGAAATTGTCTAATCTCTACTTAGTGTTAATTGCTGTCTTTGGAACCTAGAAACTGTTGTTTCGTCTTGATAGTGAACCTCGTTATCTCGACTTACTTAATATGAACCCCGCTAACGCGATTGATTCCATTCGAATCCTGTTATCTCGAATCACTCTATTCTAACAACGTCATGTATATTTATTAAATTCGAACCATGTAACCTCACTTTACTCGACTCGACACTGAATATATCGATTTACATCAGATGACGCCTTTGCCTCTTTTTACTGCAGACTAACTTTGTTATCTCGATTAACGTATTCGAATTCCGTTATTTCGATTTGTTTTCATTCGAATCCCATTATCTCGAATTACTCCTCTGGAACATCAAATACTGATTTACTTCAGACGATTTTTTGATCTTGACCTACTGCAGATAAACCCCGTTATCTCGATTTATTCCATTGAACGAAAATTACAAACCATCCATTAAACTACATCGAGGAAAGTGAAACATTCGAGATGTCTAAGTTCGTTATAGCGAAGTTAGACTACTATATATTTTGTACTCAAAGTGCGTTTGTACTTCAAATATATGTGTATACAGTTTCCTCATCATAACTTAGTAACCATGGATACGTGTGTCTGATTTCTATTTTCTGTTGTGTTCTAGTTTTGTTTTCATGCTTTGAGTTTGTCTTCCCATTAGCATTCGTTATGCCATCTGCTTACATCGAGATATCAAAGTTTCTATTATTTGAGTTACAGTAGCATGTATTCTGACCCCGAGTTTACCGAGTTGTCATGCAATTCAAAATGTAATTGTATAATTGACAATTCAGTTACTTCGACTCAAATGTAAGACGAAAACATCAAAATATATGAAGAAACTACTAAGCCCCTAGATGTGATGATAGACATTTTCACTTGCTTATCTCAAACTTAGATTTTATAATCAACTTTTTTCCATAACTTCAATTTAAAAACACGGAATGTGTCGCTTTAACGCCTAGTCTATGGCCGTTACACTACGTTACACATACTAGAAGCTTTCTTACTCCCCCTTTATTCCTCGGATATTTCACACGTGTTCAGGTTCACAGTGTCTCTCATTATGTTACTAAATTTCTATGACAGCTGCCAATAATGTGCCTGGCCTCAAAAACTAATTTTCCAAAATTACAAGTGGTGAATAAGTTAAATAGTGGTATTACCGCGAGTCTTAGCTGGCCCGTTGATCCTGTTCCTTACCCATACGAAACATTATGTATCTAGCTACTCCCGGCTGTATTGTCCTTTCCGTGTAAAACCCCCTCACCTCTCATCGCCTCATTAATGCTATACTATACGCGCGTTTCATTGCGCTTCTACACCAAGTGGTATTGCCTCAAAATCCTTTCGTTCATATGAGAAAAATTAATCTCCCGTATATAACCCAGATACGGATTGGCCGCATAAAATCGTTTTACCGTAAACTCACAAGATGTGAATGGCCAATCAGAATTCAGCTTACAAAAGCGCCGCGGTCGTACGGTGCGAAGTATATGAAACATGTAACTGTTCGGCTAGTATGCATTAGTGTGTTGATAACTCGATAGGTGATGAAAACAGTGTACATACAATTAACTGACAGTACGGAATTAACACACACATCAATATGGAGAGTTTTAATACGACAACTCTTCTGCTAATGGGAATTGTAAGTATACCTATATTAATATATATATAATTTCTAGTCAGTAGGACAGAGATTATCTATATACACAACAAGCACGTAGTATAACTACTTTCATTTTCACGGATAACTGGCCACGCGTCTTTACTACGGGGTAAGGGGACGTGTGTTTACAAATAGGGTCAACGTGTGTAACTTCTACTGAATTCTTTATGATCGTAAAGCGATACAGCTTTTAACTGGGACTTATAGCAGCAGGTTCACGTTGTTTTCACCCAGAAAGCCATCTATAAAATACACATGGTGTTTGCCGTTATATTTACTTATTAGTGCTCGTAGCTATTAATACATCATCAGCATTTGTTAGCCGTATATGTGACGGGCATCGCGATATAGTTTGTATGAGAAAACACTGTTGATCTTCTCTGATTATATTGATAAGTTGAAGATTTTGAAATCATTGACAATTTAAGAGCATGCATTATGTTCCCTTACATAATAAAACTACCCACCAGATAATCATGATATAACAGTAGGCCCTGATTATGCTTTATTCGTCACAAAAAGACAAAACGTACAAAATCATATCATTCTTTTTTATTCAAAGTCATGGATTCTGAGTATATTTATAATATTTAAAAAAAAAAAACGATTCTGATTTCTCGATAAAACAGTACAAGTTAATAGTGCGAACATTTTTGAAAATAAAACACTACTGTTTTTTAGTTTCGCATATTAAAGCTCTTTTTTCTCAATAGTGCTGCCAGGATACGATCACTTCGAAAAACCATTGCAAGACTCTTTTTTCGTACATTTTTAATGATTTTGCTAAATGCATCAAGCTGCATGTGTTGTTTTTTTAAAATTTAAATATGAACATGTATTCTGCCCATCTACTATACAGTTTCAAGTAAAGCACCAAAACTTCTGATATTGATGGCGATATTTCCGTAGTGTCATAATTAGGTTTTTATCTTGATTGTTCCATAATTAAATCAAGATAACATGACAAAAACTTTCTATTGAATCCGTGGATCGAACAAGTCATCGTTTGAAGTCTACCCTAATCTAATAAGATCGATGTTCTTCAGACGAGCGGTAGTCTTTCATACAGCGAGACAATGCCTCCGGACATATGGTCAAGACTGACCAATTGATCAGTTGAGGACAAAAACGTTAACAAATTTGATCGTGTGTCTATAATTTATAACACGAAATCTTGGGGCTAAATTTCACACTTAATTAACTGAAATGGGAGTTGACGACGTTTTTGCTGTTCATGGCGTATGAACGCTGATGTTTGCATGACACCTGTATAGGTGGTAATTAATCCAGTTCGTGACGTTCAAGGAGATGTATTGACAATTAATCTGCAACTCTCCTTTCGTCAGGTTGTTTCCCAAAACCTATGACTACGCAATATAACGTATACTGCTATTTAAAGACAAAAGATTACTTCAATCTTTCCGTTCTTTGCACAAGTTTATATTCTCATCCCTGTATCGATCACACTGTCAAAGTTTTGTATTGTACGCAGAGTAAGCTGCCCCTTGGATTTTTTTTGGATACTTAAAATAAACATGCACAACAGATGTCGTTGTGTCAGTTGGGGTTTGAATTCCATTTGTTTCGGCTGATCTCGTAGTTTGATTTCATTATGGTGTTTGTGTTTCTTCCTGGAGAGCCGTTTGCTATTGTGACATATCGATGAGGCACATCTGTGTGTGCGTTTCTACTAATTCACATGGTCATATTACTGGTCTCTTTGATTTAACTACCCTAGCCATTTCTTTTCAATTTTGCGGAACACAACTTTCATACTTATATCGTCATTCGAATTAATATTTCATCGTATAATCGACCTTTCTCACATGGATTCCCACAGACTACCAACCCTTCTTAGTACAATATTCTAAATCCACGCATTCATTGTAATGTTATTACTAACATTCATGCAATGCAGACTTTCAATGGACATTCACTATTACATGCGTTCTGTGATCCGTCACGTGTCTTACTCTAGAGTTGACTGAAACTATAATTCTCTCAATTTCGTTTCCCTGAAAGTTTGTGATGCTTGGATTTCTTTGGTAACATATACATCGGCTGTGAGAGACAGTTGTATAATCACGAACTTCAGTCCCATATAAATGGTTGAGAGTGATCGCGTATTGCAGTGGATAGCGCACTCGCCATTCACCAAAACGGCCATGGTTCGATTCCTCGGTGGGACGTGGAAAGGTATGGGTTATGATCAGCTGCCGGATCAATTGGGTTTTCTGCGGATATTCCGGTATCCTCCCACATAAACAACCCCCTGCGCGCTACCATCCGGGTTAAAAGAGTGATTACTACACAGTGTAGAGAACTTGTTTCGCAATGGTAGTAAAATAAATTTAATAGACGGTGCTGAATCACTAACGAGAACATCGACACACAATCTCGTTATAAGTGAGTGCTAATTTGAGGTCGTATTTAAAATGTGTCATCAGTCGTGTAGTTTTGTTTCTTCGCTTTTTTTTGTCCGTCCGAAAGTCAATGTTGTCCGTTATAACGTCCGTCCATATGATATATAATTTAAATTGGCGTCGGAAAGCCACGGGTTTTAGACGCCATCTTTTAATATTGACTTTCCGCATGCTTTTCGCGCGTTCTTTATCAAACACACGATATATTAATACGCGATGGAGAGGTCTCGCTCCTTCTAAGTGGTTCAGCATACAGACGGCTACTGATGCTGTCATTGTATGGGTAGCTATATTAATATATCTGCTCCTGCGCCTCACTCAGAAACAGATGGAGATGAAGACGTTACGGGGATCGCTTAGGGAATACCCCGTCAAACTTAGCCCAAAAACTGTAACAAATAATGCGTTTACATGAAAGCTCTGCCAGTGTTATCTAAATTACATCGCATTTTTCCAGCGAAGGTGGGCTCGCGCCGATGTAAATTTCATCAGCAATAAGGCGTAATTACGCTGTCCGCCAGCATCTCCATACGGGTTCATTGATGCGTATCACTGGTTTCTACTTCAAAAGACTTCTCAACTATACACGATATAGATTTTTTTTCTATAGCCTGCTTCATCATTCGTCAAGTGGGACATATCGACGTCTATTTTTGTTATAGTTCGATAGGTTTTATGACATCATTCAAGTTCTTCTTTCAAATCGCGAATTTCTTCCGTCCTTTTCTGTTACACCTCGTAAAGTTTTATGACACTCGTTTAAATATGTCTTTCAATTTTGACGAATTTTACCAATTTTGACTTAAAGACTATTTATATTTGCTCTGTAAATATCGCTTTCTGAATAATTTCCCAATCCGATAGGCAAAGTTTGTAAAGATCGTATGACGAGATAACACGTAGATGCACACGGGGCTGCTTGACTTCGATACCCCAAGGAGATTCAATTAGCTTCATTCATTGATTTACGAATATTTAAACTGGTGTTATTTCCCTTGTGGACGAGAACGTCAATGGTTTTGATTACTGTACGACTGATATGAATGTTCTGAAGCCCCATTAGGTTGCAAAACATGGAGCTAGCGCGTGCATCCCGAAATCATTGATTAGCTATAGTCATGAAAAGTCAATATTGAAAACGAAATCCTACAGAATAGTATTGCCCTTTCATTAAAGACATTTTTTTTTCAAATTACCACCCTTAATTCCATACACGCCACTGGGAGGCGCCACAATTAGTGGCCGCCATGATGTTGAGAAAACCTGGATAATAAATATAAAAGAACACTGGATTATTATATCAATTTGGCGTCAAAGATATGGGTGAAGGATTGCTTGTTTCTTTACAAAAAATTGTCCAAAATAAGTATTTATTGGATTAACGAATTTCGGATTAGAGATATAGCATTATTAATTTCATATATACTCTGACAATACTTTTTGCGTTTGTGACTTCTCATATTGGAATGCGAGATTTTGTCTTCTGTAGTAAATACTGCTATTTCCGCCGCGGACTGCCATATAGCTGCGCTCACAGCTGTTCGTGGAAAGCTTCAGTCGTAACGGCAATCGATGTAACAGATGTCAATTTCCCCCGTTACAAACGAACATCGTCACTAAAGCGGGAAAGATGAAACGAGATGAAATGAAATGAAATAAATACATTATCTGTCAGTAAAGATATGAGAGGAATTGAAATGTAATATTTTTTTATTTCATAAAATCGTGTTCTATTGAATCAATATGTCACTGAAACTTAGTCATACCGGTCACGTGATAGTGTTCAGTGATCGTTTTAAGAGGGGGGGGGGGGGGGGGGGGGGGGGGGGGGGGGATTCACATTCAGAATAATTGTGATCCCCATTAACTGACTGACTTGCAGTGACACTTCCACATTACTGGCTAAATCAACAGCAGCGCAACGTAGCTCTTTCATCTTGTATACAATTATTACATTTACAGACAAATCTAATTAGGATTCTACCATTGTCTACAAACAAAGATTCACTAAATATTTGCATATTTAAGTTGACATATTTAGGAAAAATGATAATAAGAAAATTGACGTCATTGATCATTTTAATTGTGCGTGGATAAGATATGAAGTGTACATGCAACTAGCGCATTGTAAGCTTTTACAATCAATCTGGAAGTTTCTTTTGAACTTTTAGAACAAAACCGATGAATTCGGAGGACTCCAATACTTCCCCGTCAGATCACGAACGCTATGGCGAATAGCTACTAGCTGTCTATGAAGCACTAATTAAATGAGTTTGGCATTCTGTACTTACGTGACACTCAGCCGATAAGGATGTTTTTTTTTTTTTTTTTAAATATCGGGCACTGATCAGACACTGAAAAGCATTTATTGTCACGAATAATACCGAATTTACATGTTATCTGTCGGCCGACATTTGTAATCGTGAAACAGATCTGTCTAGAAATAGACTCTGTTGATGAGCAAACACTACTACAAGATATCAAAACGATCTATCGCCATTTTATCACGAGTGGATGGATGTGTAAAATATATGTTAGTATCAAACCGATCAGTAA